TAAGATATCTGCCCCACAAGTTTCCTCTTGATTCGGTGCTCCACCAGACTCATTTTCACGGAGCAAATCCCATTCGGATCCTGGACAGATTACAGCCCCTTAACCCTTACTTTTAAATTCAGCTCCTCTGGGAAGGAAGTGGAGATCCAGAAGTCCTGAATGAAACCGAATGCTTTGGGAGACAGCTTGGGTTGGCTTAAAGCTTGCTCTCCGGAGGGCCGTAGACGGAGCTTTCTCTACTGTGCTCTGCTACTGTATTCAAGACACTGAGTAACTCCTAATGTTCCTAGGGTTTCCTAAACAGCCTAGAAATAAAGCTAACAGAAAAGAGCAATATATTTCACTTAACTAACTTTAACTACATACCCAAAGTTATTTCTTTTTAAATACCTCATGAAAGCCTTGGTCAGAATTTGGTGGCAACAGAAATACTCCCACGTGAATCCATCAGCTGCCCCGTAAGTCTCTGGACTTGAAGTGCATTAAGAATGAAACACCACCCGGGATGCTATAATCTTTATAGCTCTGTATTTCTTTTCCCAAAAAATGAAAAGAACAAAGTCACCACTCTCACAACAACTGGAGGAAAACTCAGTAGAAACTCGACACTTTTTCAATGAGAAATACCTGATGTCATATATTTTGTTTAATAAAGACTGAGTTGGCTGTACACTAAGCCAATTTAAGAATGTGATCTGTAACCCACAGTCTTAATTACATAGAGAAAAAGTGAATGGGTTCATTAATGCTGTGAAAAGGAACAGTGACCTCCCTGCCAAGTGGCAAGGTGGAAATAATTAATCTAGTCAATTAAAAAGAAACAGATCATTTAAAATGCAAAGGCTTCCAGGTGGCGCACTGCATTCTGCTCTCTGGAATTGCAAATTATTACTGTCAATTCAGGTCTCCTCAATAAGTTTTTCTTCATCCTTCCCTTTTATTTATTTATTTTTGCCATGCCTCAAATCTAATAGAAAAATCATTCTGAGCTATAAATCATCACTTGCTTCTTTGTTTTTTTGTTCTAAAATATTTATTTATTCTAACATGCACTCTAGATACACTCCAGGGGGTTACCTAGTTGCTAGTACCATCTCTGTGATTCCTTTCTCGCTTTGTTAGGGTCTGTTCTACCTCTCCCTTCAATATTGTTTGCCTTTTTCTGTGTTTTTTTTTTTTAATAATATTTTCAAAGTGCTGGAGTCTGAGCTACACTGTCTGGGTTATCTAATCCCATTTATGATCCTATAACCTTGAAGCTTGCCACGGCCTGGCTGTCAGCACCAGATTCTAAATACATAGGGTAGTGTATTTGCTCCATAGAACCGGAAATTAGTCGAACAGTTACTTTTCTACAAAGGTTCATAATTCCTCTTGACATTTACAAGCAAGTAGTAGTTCTTATACATGAGTGACCTCAGAACACCTCAGGCTGCGGCGAGCCAAGCCGCTACTCGCAACCCAGCGCGGGTGCAGGCGTTTGCGCAGAGCTGTAGGGAGCTCGGCTCCGTCGCGCTGGTTTCCCAGGGGCGCGCCTCGCCCGGCCCTGCACTGCAAAGACGCAGAAAAGAGCCGGTTCGCAGCTTAATCCTTTTCAGCTGGTGCAAACTCAATCCCAGGGCGAATATTAAGATCATGTTCATTTTAACCACGGCCAAGCTTTATAAAAGCAGCATCCGAGTTTTTAAAATCTGCTCAAGGGAAGGCTTTTTTCCTTTATGATGAGAATCTGGCTGTACATTTCTGGTTGCTAAGGAGGAAAAAAAAAAAAGATCTCATCTGAAAAAACAAATGCTGTGGTGGTGAAGTGCGACTTGCAAGTCTTTATTTCCTAGGTGTTAGACTTGGCAAGTTAGAAATAGCGAGGGAGAGGGAGGCGAAAAGACGCTTTTTCTTGATGTGCCCAAACAAAGTAGTACATATTGTCAGCTCCGCAGGAGGCGCGCAGCGGCCATATGTGCGGCGCGCAGCGAGATGGAATAAACATCTGCTGCCAGGAATCCGATTCCTGGCCAGGAGGCAAACCCAAGTCCTCGTGTTTCCAAAATAAAAATCACCAGAGGGATTCCCCTTCCTACAGTTCCAGCTAGTAGTTTTATAAAAGCATAAAACATAGCTGTATTGTGGTTTATCCTAATCCCTTACATTTGTAAAGCGTTTTACAGTTTACAAAGCGCTTTACATACATGGTCTCATTTGAGCCTCATAACAGCCCTGGAGAGTACGAAGCACGGATAGTGTGATTTGCTTTTCACAGATGGAAAAAGGAAGGCTCAGGGAAGGATGGTGAGCTGGGCACCACAGCTCGGATCCCCGCCCTCCTAGCCCAGAGCTGGCGGTGCAGAGACCGCCTGGGCTCCGCGAGACCGACAAGGTCCCGGCGAGGGTATCCTTTTTGTGTGTAGTTGAAGCACAAGCTTTCTTTCCCTTGTACAAACATCAGGTCCCTCAGTCAAAGATGTCTCCCGCACTTTTGGAAGCAGCAAGGGAGGCGAGTAAGTTGAAGGAAGCAAGGGGTGAGGAGAATAACTACTGAACGTGGAATCAATCTGGTTTGCCCTTGATGGCAGTCACAGCCACTGTTTCATTTTCAGCATATACTGCAGAGGTCAGCCTCTGGGTTTCAGAACTGCAAGGAAGAAAGAACTTGGATATTATTGCATCATTTTCTCTGACACTGCCGCCTCTGTACAACCCTTTGCAGAAAAATAGGCTGCTTTGCTTCTGAACTGCCAGGCTCAGGCTCACTGTGAAAGCAGGTGTACAGAAAAGATCTGCAGTGCCTTTTATGTCAGAACCTTCTCTGACCGCAGGGATGGTGGGATACTGGTGCCTAACAGTCCCGTGTTATGGAATAGGGGCATTGCGGGTGGATGCTGCAGTGTAGAGGCTGCCATGGCTGCTTTAGCCCTGTAAGAGGGAACTGCTCTCTGGTGCAGACTTGGAGACTTCCCCAACACGTACCTAGTTTCCTGATCAGGTCTCACAGGGCTTTCGAACATGCCCAGAGATTTCCTGCTCCTTAGTGCTGGCTGCAGCATCTGGCCTTAAAATCACTGGAACCAAAATGCCAGGGCTCAATGATTACCAGCGGTGTGAGCTTGAGCAAGTTTACTTAAGCGTTCTGTGGTGCAAGAGATGTGCCTTACCTGAAAACATGGGGCTATGAATAAACTCTGTTTCCTGGGGTCATTGCAAGACAAATGATTATTGTTGGTAAAGTGCTGGCACCAGTGCCCTGTGTGAGGTGAGTGCTCTGTTAGGCTTTGCTAAGTACAGTAGGCTGTACTTTGGGCAGGAGCAGCTCAGCTCCTCGCAACTGCCTTCTGCTCCCTGATCATGTCCCAGTTACTGAGAGTCGTTGGTGACAACTCTCCTTCACATGTCTGCTTTAACTCAGATATGCCTTCCCAGGATCCCCCAGGGAGATGCACAAACCAAGAGGCACTGCCTTGTGCATTTTAGTCACTGACCTTTTCATGCTGCAAAGCAATCAAGGTTTGCAGGAACACAGCACATTTTGTTTAACTGCTTCTACATGGTTGGTGTCAAAGCAAAAATTGCACCTGACAGAGTTAAACATGCAAGCAAGACTTTTATTCAAAGCTCTTGCAATAGAGAAGCGTGCTCAGAACTCAGCTCTGCTGAAACAGGGGGCAGGATGGCAGTGTTTGTAAGCAGTGGGGTGAAGGATGATCATGGGCTCTCTGTGTTTGCTAACTGGCTTGACAAAAGGGAAAGTAAATTTCTCATATCTTTACAACAGGAGGTAGTTTTGTAACTCGGAGCAAGGTACCTGAAGAAGTTAGGCTCCTGCTCTCCCACGGGAACTAGGAGATAGCAGTGCTGTCTCCTGTGATGATTGCCTTTCAAAGAGATTGCTCCCTGGCACTGGAGAAAGACATTCTTGGGCTGTGAAACCAGCCAGAGACTTTTAAAAAGATTTACGTATATCTCAAAGAGGCAGAGAAATAATTACAATGACAAGGTTTCTAAAGAAAATGCTCCAGGAAAAGGGAGGTCAGGGAAAAGCCTATCCAAAGTTGAGTCAAGCTGAGGGAGATATTAAGGCCATCTTGCTCATCGGTATTTTAGCCACTAGATGGCAATTTGTTTCTCTTGCCACAGAGTTCCTTTGGAAGGTGAATAGAACCCGTGTGGGTTCCCTAATAGGCTGTGGCAGTGGCCCAGGGTCTTTGGTTACCTAAGTGTCTGGTCTCAGCCCCTCTCTTTTCCAGGGGGCAGCTGGCCCTTACTGACCCAGGAAGGGGAAAGCCTCATTTTACTTTCTGTCTTGAGCCTCTGAGTCGAGGTTCACTTGATAAGGTGATGTCCCTCCTCTGGACCATAGATCGAGTCCTTGAGTCCATCCAAGGCTCCATGATTTTGGAAATAATTACATAATGAAGGGGAGCAGGGTATGCCACCCCCGAATGTGCCACTTTGGCATGCGGATTATTTTGAGCTGAAGGCAAAGAAAACCCAGCAGATTTGGGAAATACTTTTTTACCCATGCCTTAACTGTCTAAAAAATTTAGATATGGGGGCCTGTATCAGCAAGAGAGCACTTACCAGAGATAACATTTTTTTGTTAAATCTAAGAGACCTCTCTGTGAGGCCAGGCAAACATCTAATTACCAAATGTTTGCTCTTGTTATCTTCCTGAGAACTACCCGTCTCACCTTAGGACTCCCTCACCTCAATCTTGTTCCATAGCTCAGGGTGGCACATACCCCTCTGTTGGTGACGTGTCTTTGAGCATCACATTTTTTATGGGGCTCCTGTAGGTACAAAGTTAAAATGGTTTTCCTCCAGTTAATGCTTCATGTCAGTTTAATTATTAGAGCAGCCAGAGAACCTACAAGGGAAGAGGGCAAAGTGTTCCTGTGCCTTCAGCAGTGGAGGAAAAATCAGGACATTAGCTACTTCGGACTTTTCTCTGAACCTCACAGGGGGTGCAGTTCAAAGATCAAGGTCTTCTCACAGGAAGAAGGCCCTTGGTGGATGTCCACTCTAGCTGAGTCCCAGCTAGCTCTTCAGTCCTCAGCGCACCTTTGCAAAATCTCCACGCCCATCCCAGTCATTCTGCCTGCAGAAACCATCGGGGACTTCGGCAAAATGGTTAGTGGTGCCCCTTGCTGTTTAAACCTCACAAAACATTCAGGGAGGAGGGCTGCTTGTTATGTAGTGAGGGGAGTAGTAGACCTGAAGTCTGCCGGCCAGGCTCATTTTTATTGTTTCTACAAGGGTGAGCTACAGTCATGCACATTATTTTACCTCTTATGTCATGTCTGCCAGTCTTACCACTGGCCATTTTAATGTTCAGGAATGATGCAGTCTAAATTGATACTGAGAAGTATTACCCAAATTTGCAAGATTCTTTTCCTCTTCACTCCCTCCTTCTTCCCTCTCCTCCTTTCCCCCTTGAGGCACTGACCCCCATGTTTTGTGCAGAACACTATTAGGTTTCTTTTCTGCCCTGCCCTGGGTTGAGGTGGTATGGAGGGGCAGGAAGGAGAAGATTGCTAGAATATTAAAAGAGCTTCATTTCCCAGGGTCATTCTCATCCTCCTCTGTCCTTTTGTGTGTGAGGATGGGGTAGGAAGGTTGCCTGTTCTTGCCATAGCTCAAAGGTTTCTGGCTGCAGAAATAATCAAGGGTTGAATTAAATTGCTGTATTTTAGCCACTAGAAAGAACCACTTTCAGCCTCAAAGCAGACCCTGACCTGCAGAAAACAGGTGTGACGGGTCCAGAGAGGTTTGGGCGAGACGCAGTAGAACACAGGGGTTTCTGTTGTTTGCTGCACGTAGGCCTGATTAGGGTCAATGTGGGGGGCTGAGGATAGCAAAAATTTACTCAGGCAACATTTTAAGAAGGACTCGACTGCTTTGAATGTTGGTTCTAAAAGGGTAGCGCATTCTTAGAGCACTCGCACATCAAGGGCGTGGGACTCTGGAGACTGGCGAAGAGACGAAAGGCAAGCTGGGTGGTGTATGATAAGACCTGGGCTGTGACCCGGAGTTTAGAAGGGAGAAAGGACTCCTGATCCTCCTGGAAGGAAAACCACCAGCTGCAGTATGGAATACACAGGGAGAAACAGCTCTTGATGTGTGGGAGGCCACAGCGAAGCATATTTAAAATATTGACCATGGAGCAACAATGTAAGAAATATAGGCAGTATTTTGTGAATGGCCTCACAAAAATGGCCAACCAAAGCCAGTTACCTCATTTCCCAAGCCCAGTACAAAATGAAAATGTGGGGTCCCTTGTTCATAAATTATTAAGGATTTCAAAACAGTGGCAGCAGAGGATTAAGCCAAGCGTGGAGCCCTTCCACGTGCAAAGCCCCGTGTGACTGCACAGCCGCCCATGAAGCTGGCCGTGTGTCTCCACTGGAATCTGAACATGGCAGACCAAACTCTTTTCTGCATTCATTTTACACAGCAATCAGAGAAAAAACTTCGCCTTCTCCACAGGGCACTGATGCCCGCAGGGGGAGCGGTGGGTGGACCTCCCTAGGATCTAGTCTGAACAAAGGTGTCTTCACTCTGCCCTGGAGACTGATTTCCTGCCCCTCTTCCTTCCCTTCCTTTAAGGTGAGAGTGGGGAGAGGGGAGTCCTCTCAAGCTGTCTGCCGGTATCTGCCAGGTCTGGAGGCGCCTTGGCTCTCTGAAAAGGTTTCCCTTATGCTTTCCCACCTCCCTCTGTCTTAGCAAACACATAGCTCTTTAACAGATTCTGAGTATTTTGGAGGGCAAGTTCTGTGGGCTTTTATTAGATATATACTGTAATTCCAAACTGTGATTACGTGATGTCTGGCTTTCCCTGAACTCAAATTTAATATCCTGAAAAATGGGAAGCTTTATTGCAAGGTTGAAGTACACCAGCAGTGGGGGCCCCGGGGCTGAGTGCCCGTGGGCCTGCTCATCGCTTTCCTTCCACCCCTTGGAATCCCTGGCTGGCCACGGCCTGATGCTTGTTAACCTCTGCTTTGCCTTTTAGATGGACTTTTTTGTCCTCTTGAATTATGTTTTATTATACATACTTATAAAAAAAATTTAAAAAGACAAATCATTTATAATTTTACAACCGTAGTACTGTTTTTTTTTTCATTTTCTGCATTCTCTTGTTGTCCTGGATTACACTCATATTTCTAATTGTTGCATTCATAATGGAGTTACAATGTTTTGTTCTATAGTTGAATTTTAATCCCTTCTATTCTTGCAAAGGTAAAACACATTTATAAACTTAAAGAAGATGGATGAACAAAAAAGTGAAAAAGAAGTCTTAGAATTGCCTTCAAATGGAAGCCAAAGCAATAGTCACTGAGGCAGAGAGCCTGTGAAGGTAGCTGAAGTGATTTTATTTTTTATTTTTTTAATCTTTCAATTTATTTTTTATTAGTTACCTGGTTTTGTGCCTTTACTTTACCAAACAAGAAACTGAGACCCAGAGTTAAATGACCTGTCACACAACTTCTAGTGACAGTCACAACTAAACAGGCAGCAAATGGCTTAAAAAAACAACAACAACAAAAACATAAGCTAAGTAGTCCCGATTTCCGCACTAGTATCGTAAGTTCTTTGAGTGTCTGTCCTTCGTTTGTGATATGGGAGTTGGAACAGACGCTCTTAAAAATTCTTTCAACTCTAAAACCTTGAATCCAACTGGAAAGGAATACAATTGGACCCTTGCCTAGTCAGCCCAGAACTACTACGCACATAATGAAAAATGTGGTAATGATTAGAACATCCCCTGTTTTATTTAACAAGATGGGTTGTAGAGCGGCTTGGCAGAGCCCTGGAAAACTCAGACCGGACCTGGGACTGCATGCGACAGACAGCACAGCGGCTGCGGGACTGGTCCGCAGGCCAGCCGGTGCCTCTCGACCTCAGCCCGAAGGAAAACCGTGGCGTGTTAAGCAAACAAAGGGTTTGCCAACCCTGTTTCGCAGCGCAGTGAGCCTTGCAAAACACTTTCTGGGCAGAGCGAGGCCCCCTCTACTGGCAGGATTCCTCCTTCTCCCAGAAGTCAGGACTTGTTGGGTTTGTGAGAAATGAGAGAGAGAGAGAGAGAGAGAGAGAGAGGGAGGGAGGGAGGAAGGAAGGAAGGAAGGAAGGAAGGAACCAGGAGAAGAATGGATTCCAATTGTGAGGGGACAAGAAGCAGTATCTACTCTGAAATCTCAACTTTTCAGACAAAGAAATAGATTTATGATGTTTAAACTTGTTTTCTCAGAAACTTGCTATGCAACATTCTTCCGAGGAAACTTTCGCACTAGGTGGCAAAAACATCTCTGCACTAAAACCTGAAGTTTGCTTTCTGAAAACGGAAGGGCCTAGACAAGTACTTACTGAATCAGCAATGGGTAAAAAACCTGCTTTTGCTCAGGGAAGAGTAGGGTTCTCCCACCCCTCATGTGAAATCCTGTGTCCCACTTGCCTGAACCACGATTTCTTAAACTCTGTCATCCAGGTATCACCGACAGGCTTCTTGCCATAGCCAAGTACTCTTATCATTTTTGTTTCAATTGAGTCATTTTTAAAAAATTTTAGTCTCATCCCATGCAATAGCATCTGTGAAATTTTAGGTCTGAAGTCTCATGTATGTTATGTGTGTATATACATGCACTCAATAAAATCAATACATGGCTATTTAAAACTGTTCTGTGTGCCAGTTAAATTCATCCGATATAATTATCGCATGTGCTCACCATGCTTTAGAAAACACTGAGGTAAATATACCCCACGTGTAAGTCATGTAAATATAGTGGTCATAATTTCATTTTTCTGTTAAAGGTGAGTTGTTTATTGCTTTTCTTCACCTGGTCCCTCCCTTGTGCCTTATTCTCTGTCTTGACGTCTTTCTTCGTCCCCCCCAACCCCGCACCCCTTCACAGTCCTCGGGTACAGTCAGGACGTTTCCTTTCCCCCAGCGAGCGGAGGGAGACTTGCTCCCCTGCCCACCGGGGACTGGCCTCGTCTGACTCTGAGCTCCAGGAAACCATATGGAAACAAACTGGTATTCGACAGAACGAATAAAAAGACCTTTGTGTTCTTGTCTTTTTCTAGGAATTGGGGCTTGAGAAATATTGAAAAGTGATGTTATTTCTATTTCATCCTTATGGTCAGCTTCTCTGAGGAAATGGCACATAAACACAGAAAGTCCAATTTATAAAAACACATTTACGAAATTACTCCTTGAGGAATAGAATGGAGAGTCTGTTTTGGTTGGGGCACTGCGCAGGTTGTGATACCTGTAGGGGAGAATGGAGATGAGAAAAAGGCTGATGTTCATGAAAGCTTTTTCCTTATTAAACATTCCTGTGGAATTAATTCAAGCTTTGCTTCTTCAGAAATAAAGGCGACCATTATGCATTTATTGCTGGGTGAATACATTCAATTCCCCAGTAGTTATAACTTGGTGCCACTGTGAACCCCACATTAAATACAGTGGATTATCAGTGTTGAAGCTAATTTGTAAAAGATCAGTTTTAAAACCTCCTGTCTTTATAATCTATTTTTTGTTCAATTTATTGTATCATCTCTGTTGACTCTTAATGAGATGTGAATAAAGAGGTTTTTGATAAAAAGTATTTATACATTTAAGCATCTTCGGAACTAAAGGGCTCAGAAAGAGTTGCTTCAAATGTATAGTTTTTTTTAATAACAAGAATTGCACTTCATAAAGTTAGAAAGTTCTTCAAAAAGAAAGAATTTCAGTGAGTCAATTTTCATTTTGGTAACATTTGCATAGTAGTTTTAAAATCATGTGGAAAATTATTACAAAATAGGCAATGATAAGCCAAACATAAATGAACACTACAGTTACAGCAATGAAATTCTATATACCTTATTATTCTGGGAAAATGCAAGCAAATACAATCCTAACAACAGTTGACCTTTAAAACAGTAAGAGACTCGCGCCCCGTGGGGCGGAAGGGGCGCTCCGCATGTGCTGCGGCTCTCCGAGGGGTCCTTTCTGATGGCAAACAGATGGAAACCCCGGAGAGAGGCAGGTTTCTGCTGCGACAATCAGAGGGCTACACTGTGCCTTTCAAGTGACATCAGTCAGGAAATCAGTGACTGGAGTTTCAGATTTCATAGAAGGATTTTGTTTT